CAACAACAACAACAACAATAACAACAACAACAACAAAAGCTACAATAACAGTAACAATTAATGCCATTATCAAAACTGCAGCATCAGTATCAAAAGCGCTATACACATGTACTTCAAGTTTAGTTTGGTAAGCGTTGTACGGAGCTCGCAACTACAACTATGTGCATGTACTTTAATACTGACAATGATAACTTGTTCTACAATAATATCTTTTTTGCTACCTCTTTTGGCTTCAAGGTTCACAGTCGTGACTTGTTGACTCTCAAGGGTTTTTTTCTTCTTCTTTTTGGGGGGAGTCAAAGAGAAGTGTTTGTCTTCTTGAGAGGCTCAATGTCGACGGCTACTCTGTGTTGAAAACAGTAATTGAACTACATGTATTTAGTAACGAGCCCCAAGTTCGCAGCTATCAAGAATTCTTTTGTGCAAAATAATGTCATTCTTTCACTGCAGTCTGTAACTCTGATAACGTGAAGAAGAGCTATGTCCTTGACAGAGGTGGAACACTGCCTGGTAATCATTTTCTGTAGTTTGCAAAGATTGTATGTGTAACTTATTATTTTACATAGAACTTGTCTCGGGGTTGTTCTAATTGTTGCTTTGTTTTTTCTTCTTTTCCTTTTTTCCCCTTTTATTTTGGAAGGGGGTAAAGGGGATACATCTACGAAAAGAGAGAAAATGTCTACAAAAACGTTGTTCCTTGAAGTGAACCTGTTTCGTGATGCGGTATCTGTGACATGTTGTGCCCAGTGCACGCTGCCGAATGGGTTCATTTGATTAAGTATGTGCCAGCCAGATTTTCCAAATATTTGGGGGGGGGGGGGCATAAGGTTGACACAATACGGTCAAATTTAACTAAATTCAACTGTGCCCTTCAAAGTCAAACATGTCGAATCGGTCGCGTTGTGCCAAAATGGTACCTTTTGGTACCAATCTGGCTGGCACAGACTGAATCAAATGAATCTGATTGGAACATGTATTTGATTTTCTAAATCACGATTGGGTCCGTTTGATGAAAGTATAACCAATATGCAAACAGAGGGCTATTACTTGTCATACGACATTGTAGGGTCATTACTTGTCATACGACTTTGCAGGGTCAGTGGTCAGATTTTCGGAATGCTCTATACCATAATAGGCTTCCGAGTCGAATTGGAGGAGAGTGACGCAGATGTAAATTTGATATAACGTGCATTGACCGGCACCATTTCTTGCCCCGACTCACACAATGTTGTGTTGTTTGTTTTTGTCGTTGTTTTGTTGTTGTTGTTGTTATGTTTAGGGGGGGGGGGCTTCTAG